TGCAACTTTTGTTGATGGTTAATGTTTTGTTATTCATGTTCTTTGAACCCGTTCAATTGGTTAGGTTATGATAAATATTCGACTTCAAAGTGAACATTCGTCATGTATATGACAAATGAAGCGCGATTTGAAATGCTGGTAGGTACTGGACAGCTGCTTGGACCTGGTTGGGTCTCATCAGCAATGCGAATCCGTCGACCCACCTGGGGATCGAACACGGGACCTCACAGGTAGAATGCAAGGATACTACCCACGGCTGATGAGACCCAACCAGGTCGAAACAACCGTCCAGTGCTTTCCAGCATTTCAGTTTACGCTTCATTTGCCATATATACAACAAATTTTTACTTTGAAATTGAGTGAAATCCTCCATTCCTCACAGGAAATATTCAACTGCCGCCATGTTGAAAATTCCAATACCTCGTAATTGAGAATGATCTTCACTTGACTCTTCAGTTGACTGAAGATTAGAGGCCGGTCCAACCCCATCAGCTAAGCTTTTTTGGTGCAAAACTCATACTACACCGAGATCGTAACCATAAAGAAACTTGAAATCGGCTTCATCAAGTAGCAGACAAACGCGACACGGTACTTTATGCAATTAATTTGTTTGCTGCTACGATGCTTGGAGCTCGGGAACAATAATAGGCAAATTTCTATGCGCAGTCGTCTACTACATGCATTTTCACAGCAAGAGATTATTTCACATGTTCCACTATTGACAGAGAGGATTTTATATCGCTGTATATATCTGCCATGGGAGCATAACAACATAATTGCACAACGATGCGCGGGACTGAACTGTGCAGGGGATATTTATCCGGTTTACCAATTAGCCATTTAGTTCGAACTATAATGATACACTTCCGGTATGCAATGTTCGCTTAATTGTCCCACTACATTCTTCGATGTATGTTACTGTGATAACTGAAAATGGTAATACCGAGAATGTGTTCAGCTCCTTTTCGTTTGACATTTATTTCTTCCCTGCGTTAATACTTCAAAATTATTTGCTGTTTTCCATCATCTGAGCTTGAATTATTTTCGTGAGTTCGTTGTTTTGTTTTACTGGTACTATTATCGGTATTCTTATTTGAATTAGTTTTATTGAATGGAGGATTGCACCAATAAATTTAAAGAAGAAGAAGAGGTTCATCATAAAATGTGGAACGACAATTAGTAGCGGTAACAACGAAGAGAACGGTTGGTTTTAAAAGTGTTCGAAACAGACCGTTTGGCGCTTCCACCAAACGTAAGGCAGAATAAGTATTCCAACCATTCCACCTATTCGGGAGTAATTTGAAGGTGTGAATATTGTTTGGAGCTTCGGTTAAATTGCTCATTTGGCTTGTGTTTGTGGTACTATTGAACACGGGATGTAACAGCTCCTGACAGGAAAATCACATCCGCGCTAATAAACTGATTGGCATCAATAAACTGCACGTAATATCGTTGTCGGGATATGCTAGAGATTAATCCAAAGAGCGGGTCAAAATTGTTGTTTGGTTGTTTTGGGTATTTGCAATGTTGAAAAAAATAACGTCCTTATTTTACGGAGATTATTATGAACTGCTTGGATTTTTAAACATTAATGTGGTACAACTTTCATGTATTTAAACATTTCTCCTGTAGAACCGAAAATACAATGTTCCTGGAAGTTACCTGTCCTATTGCAAGACCGGCATTGATGGTTGTCGCAAGCGAAGGCCAAGCAAAAATAGACTTTGGTTCTATAAGTTCCGGACAACAGAAAATTGCATGTCTTTCTGTGGAAAATATCAGTCCTTATCGACTCAAGGTAGGTAGCGCTCAGGTTACGCCCGTGATACTTGTGTTACCTCTCCAATTACTTTGTGTCCCCTGAATCTATATCTGACAGATTTTTCTCTGAGTTAATTGTAACAGTTGCATTGAATGCAAATAAATGTCATGCTCGAAAACAAAGTGCAATCAGCACAAAAAATAAAGCAAAATACAAAATCAGCATTGGGTCTTACTGTCATTTGAATAAGTGTCGTCAGACGAGATTCCCATGCATTCTGATGGACCGTAAGTCACACCATTTGGGTTCATGTTTTTATTCCACTCATCGCACCAGCTACTATTCCGCTTGACATCAACCATACGAGAAGGAACATTACTTGAGAGTGATGGCGAAGTCAATAATTGGTCAGTTCAAAAAAGTGTACACACGGTTCGATCAAGCAATGCGGATGAACAAACCGATGAGCCAGTGAGCTCGTGACTCCGATTAGTTGATAGTACCGTTGAGCCACTGACTCCTAATCTCTGGCAGTGAGTCAGGATGCTCCTTGAAAACNTTGTTCTGAGACAATCAATCAGCGCAAGAATAATGGGGCTCAGACGTTTGACATTAATCCAGTCAAACAATCATTTTCCTCTCTTCCCTTTTGAATAATAAATGGATTCCTGCACGCTTCCATTTATGTTCTACTTCATTACCCATGGAATCGCTACTTGTATAAGAAAACCTTATCCGCAAACGGTCTTTGCGAATTCAGGGGTAATTTCGTTCCATTTAGACTGTTTCGATTATCGTCCAATCAGATTCGCCCAGTCCATCGTGGGATTCGTACATTGGTTCATGTGGCTCGCACACCTCAGCTGACTGTGTGCAAATTCCATTCTTAAAATATCTCAACGAATGCTTTATTCCGTAGGATCGAATGAACCGATCTGGTCAGATGTGCGAAGTGCTTTGTGTCATATGCAAACGGCAACAGCCACCGACCAGTCCGTGAACTTCATTATCATCTTAAGGGTTATGGGATCTCAACAAACGAAAGGTAAAACTGGTGAATACGGTTAAAAAGAAACAGTTATTCGGACATCTTTGTCAGTGGTAAAACTTTAGTTTGAAAACCTAAGCGTTCGTGAAAAAGTCGGCAATCATCAATCAAACTGCCCTACATTGATGGTCCCAGGTCAATGTAATTGCGTTGGTTTGAGAAAGTAATTCTTCGAAAACCTGTTCATTCAAACGGTCTTGACATACAAACTTCTGTTTGATCACAGGTGGTTTTCGGTTAGTTCATAGCAAGGACCGCACAAAGTACATGTTGTCTGTGATGCATACAGCGCACTAAGGATGATGAGGAAAACAAATTTTCCACAAGTGAGACTGGCATACCAATTGTACAGCTGTTTTCATTTTTGGTACTCGTTTATTCACGAAATTAGATTGTCCGAACATCCGGGGAGTACGTTCTTTGTTTTCCATCCTCAGATGCGTTAGCTGAATACATTTCTGTCGAATGGCGACTTCATGAACAGACAGCGTTCGGACGGTTGAGTCAGTGGCTAGGAAATCCTGTGGGGTTCACACACATGAAATGCTGCCTTTTACCAAACGAGTTGTATTGTTTGCATTATTCTCGCTGATAAACCTAACAGGATGGGATAGTAACTTGGTCACCCTCGAATATACACTTGCCCGCCCCCCCTCCTCCCTGCTTCCCTTCCTCAGACACAAGGTTTATGTTAATGGGCTTGATACTATATTGCTCAAGAGCTTTGAAGATTGCACCGGTGACAAGCCCAGTTGCGATAGAAAAATGTTCTTCAGTTCACCGTGATTTCTTACAGCAAGGTTGCGTGAAAATTTCTAATATTCGGTTACCAGCTTTTGTAGAGAGGAGTCGGATAACACGAACGTAGTCGAAAGTTTCCAGTTAGACACATCTGTGAATTAGTAGTGACAGAAGCGATTGATGACGTTCAGCGAAATTAGGAAAAAACCTGGTAAGGCTTGAATTAGGAGTTTTCCACGGATTTTGAGGAATTGCTACGAGAACCAGAAAAGTTATTTCGTTTTTAATAGGAACTTCTGGCCTCAGGACTATATTGTCATTCTATTGGTAATATCCTCAAAGGATTTGTGAAGAAAGCTGCATTTCCATTACGTGCTCAATTGAGTTTTCGGAATAGTTTATGAGGGGTCAATGAAAGTGAAGAATCCTCGATGACTGTACACTCTCCAGGTTTTTCAGTGGCATATGTCAATAGAGTGGAAATGTGATTCATTTTTCCAATAATATTGGGGATGAGATCGATTTGTAAGGTAGATTTACTACTTTTATCTATTCGCTGGGCTCACAGTTAGAGCATTCGTGTCATGTCATGTAAGTGTGGTTAAGCCTTTTTGGTGTGGTGGACCGAATAGCTACCGCTTCGGCTATCAATATGTAGTAATCAGAATAGAATTGAA